TTGTTGTTATTAATAACCCTATGGGGAAACAAACATTTGGGGAAGTTATGACTTGCTCAGGACCACACAGTGAAACCCACTCTACTCGAAACTTGAAAAGCTCACTTTTGGTTGTTTGCTAGTACGGAGTCTTCAAAAGTGAAGTCTGAATTCAGTAACTGTTCTACCAGTTCTTTTAATGCTTTGCCCTTTTCAACGATCTTCTTTTAGGTACCTGGTGACTGTTTTCCAAGACATCCCCAGCCCTCTTGGCTAACATTATAAACTCTGAATTTTTACCATAACTCCTTATTTTTGAGCATTGTTTCCAATTCTCTCTTCTTTTCCTCTGTTCAAGGTGACAATCATCTAATCTGAAAAACTGAAGTGCACTTATGTCACTCTGTGACAATAGCATAATTGCCTGTTATATCCTGTATTTTTGTAGTTTAGCAGAGTTCTCCTAAATAAAAATTTTAACCCAAAAAACTTAATAATGATGAGAATTAAAAACAGAGAGATTGGCTAACATACTGTTAATCTGGTAACCCACCAAACAAATAATTTATGTAGGCAGTGATGCCCAAATACGAAGACTGATATTTAGATCAAATTTGTTATTAACATTATTACTTAGCATAAGCAATTACTTATTATTAACATAAGTAATTATCTATATTATTCATATATGTAGCTCCATGAAAATATTATAATGCACTAGTGAAATGAATGAGATCAGATTTTGGTTGCCCTTATAGGATGAGATGTAGTATTTAGGAAGATTGTCTAGTGTTAGTGTAAGAAAGAACTTGGTTTAAGTCCCAGTTCAGTCACTTATAAGTGATGTGATCTTGAACATGTTCTTAATTTCTTTGAGTCATCATGGAAGGAAGAAAGGAAAGGGAAGGGAAGAAAAGAGGAGGGGAGGGAAGGAGAGGGGAAGGGAGGGAGGGGAAGGAAGGGGAGAAGAGGAGGAGAGGGAAGGGGAGGGAAGGGGAGGCAAGGGAAGGGAAGGCAAGGGAAGGGAGGGAAGAAAGAGAAAGGAAAGAAAGAAAGAGAAAGAAAGAAAGGTTTTATATCCTCTGCAAAGAGAATAAATTTGAGTTAAAAATGTAGTATAAAAAGATCTCAGGTTCAGAAAATAAGAGGGTAAATATTTTTTAGATGTGGATTCTCCCTAGGGTGAGATATTTCATATACAGGAAATGACAATAAGCCAGCCACTGTTTTAAGAGAGATGTAGAGTTTTTTTGCATCAAAAATTAATTCTGTAGCTTCAAATTAAGCTCATCACATGTAAAGCAAAGTTTAAATCTTTCTTAGTCATTACAATAAAAGTTACAGTTTCAGGAACACATTGTTTCTATTGGACTCTACACTTCACTGGCATAATTAAGACTCATCTAGAGTAGAATCAACTTTGACATGTGGCAGGAGAGGCTGTAGTTAATTCCTTTTCCTTATTAGCTCATGACCTCAGATGTGTTGAGATGTGTTTCTGTGATGGAGCAAGGAAGCCAGGTTTTCTTCCCCCATGTTGTAAATATCTCCATTCTCAGGCTTAGGCTTTCCTGCAAGAGTACAGCCACTCAGAGGCTGGCCTGCTCCAGGCCTTGTCTTGATAATTTACAGAACTGTCCGACTACAGCTTGAATGGGTCCTCAGAAAAAATGGGGCTTAACTTCCCAGCAAGTGTAGATGCTGTCTCTGCAATCCATAGATGACCACTCTAGGAAAGAAAGAGGAACATTAATATAAATTTATTTCTGGCTGGGCATCATGGCCCATGCCTGCAACCCCAGAACTTTAGGAGTGGTGGAGGCAGGAAGATTGCTTGAGACAAAAAGTTCAAGACCAACCTGGACAACATAGCAAGACCCCCATCTCTACAGATAAAATAGCCAGACATAGTGGTGCAGGTCCACAGTCCTAAGTACTCAGAAGGCCTAAGCAATCAGGAGGATTGCTTGAGCCTAGGAGGTTGAGGTTACATGAGCTATGATGGTGCCACTACTCTAGCTTGGGCAACAGAATGAGACACTATAGCTAAAAATATAGGTATGTGTGTATACAAAAACACACACACAGTGTTAGGCCATTCTGAGTTTTTTTTTTTTTTTTTTTTTTGAGACAGTCTCATAGTGTTGCCTAGGCTGGAGTGCATGACTCAGTCTTGGCTCACTGCAACCTCCACCTCCTGGACTCAAGCAACTGTCATGTCTCAGCCTCCCAAGTAGCTGGGATTATAGGCATGCACCACCACGCCTGGCCAATTTTTGTATTTTTCATGGAGATGGGGTTTCACGATGTTGGCCAGGGTGGTTTTGCATACCTCACCTAAGGTGATCTATCCTCTTTGGCCTCCCAAATTGCTGGGATTATAGGTGTGAGCCACTGCACCCAGCCTAGTTAATTCTTGCATTGCTATAAAGATATATCCAAGACTGGGTAATTTATTTTTCAAAACATATTCAATTGGCTGACAGTTCTGTTTGCTTTACAGACGTCATGGGGCTGGCATTTAGTTGGCTTCTAGGAAGGTCTCAGGAAGCTTACAATCATGACAGAAGGTAGAGTTGAGTAGGCATGTCCCATGGTGAAAGCAGGAGCAAGCAATAGAGATGGAGTCAGGGCAGAAGTGCCACATGCTTCTAAATGACAAGATCTCTTGAAAACTCACTACCATGAAGATGACACCAAGCCATGAGGGATCCATCCCCATTATCCAAACACCTCCCACCAGTCCCTACTTCCGTGGAGATTACAATTCAACATGAGATTTGAGCAGGGCCAAATATCCAAACTACATCACTCTGCCCTTGGTACCTCCCAAATCTCATGTCCTCTCACATTGCAAAATGTTTTTATTTTTGGTGGAGAAGGGGTTTCACCCCATCTTAACTCATTCCAGTATTAACGCAAAAGTCCAAAGTCTCATCTGAGACAAGGCAAATGCCTTCTGCCTATGAAGCTGTAAAATCAGAAACAAATAGTTACTTTCAAAATGCAGTGGAGAATCTGGGCACAGTGGCTCATATCTATAATCCCAGCACTTTGGTAGGCTGAGGCAGGTGGATCTCTTGAGGTCAGGAGTTCGAGACCAGCCTGGCCAACATGGTGAAACCCCATCTCTACTAAAAAAATACAAAAATTAGCTGGGTGTGGTGCCCCACATCTGTAATCCCAGCTACTTGAGAGGCTGAGGCAGGAGAATTGCTTGAACCTGGGAGGCAGAGGTTGCAGTGAGCTGGGATTGTGCCACTGTGCTCCAGCCTGGGTGACAGAGCAATACTCCATCTAAAAAAAAAAATACAATGGCGATAGAAGCATAGAAGCATTCAGTAAACATTCCAGTTTCAAAAGGGAGAAATTGGCCAAAAGAAAGGGGCTATAGGCCACATGCAATTTTGAAACCCAACAGGGCAGTCATTAAATCTTAAATCTACTTTGACTCCATGTTCCATGTCCAGGGCACACTGGAGCAAAGGATGGGCTCCCAAGGCATTGGGCAGCTCTGCCTCTGGGATGTTGCAGAGTTCTGCCTCTGCAGCTGCTCTCACAGGTTGTTGGGCACATGTGGCTTTTCCAGGTACAGGTGCAAGCCACAGGTGGATCTCATTCTTGAGTCTGGGGGAAAGTTGCCTCCTTCTCATAACTCCATTAGGCAGTGCTTGTGTGGGGCCTCCAACCTCACCTTTCCCCATGGCATTGCATTAGTAGAGGTTCCCTGTGGGGGCTCTGTCCCTGCCGCAGGCTTCTGCTTGGACATCCAGGCTTTTCTATATGCCTTCTGAAATCAAACTGGAGTGTGCCAAGCCTCACTGACTCTTGCAGTCTCTGCACTCATAGGCTTGATATCATGTGGAAACTGCTAGGGCTTAAAATGACTTGCTTGTACTCTCTGGAGTGGTGACACAAGCAATATCTGATGCCCTTTGAGCTGAGGCTGGAGGTGGATCAGCTTGAATGTGGGGAGCTGTGTTTTGAGGCTGCATAGGGCAGCAGACCTGGACCTGGCCCAGCAAAACATTCTTTCCTCCTAGGCTTCTGGGACAGTGATGGGAGGGCATACCTTGAATGTCTTTGAAATGCCTTCAAGGCCTTTATCCCATTGTCTTAGATATTAGCACTTGGCTCCCTTTTAATTATGCAAGTATCTGTAACAAGTGGTTGCCCTAAACCCTGCTTGAATTACTTTCCTGAAAAAAAAATTTTCTTCCTCTGCCACATAGCCAGGCTGCAAATTTTCAAAACTTGAAGTCATTTCTTTGCTCCTACATCTGAGCATAGGCTGTTAGAAGCAACCAGCATCCTTTCCTGCCTGCAAGTTTCCTCTGACAAATGCCCTAGGTTGTTGATCTTTAGTTCAAACTTCCATAGATCCCTAGAGGATGGACAAAATGCAGCCAAGATCTTTGCCAAGGCATAGCATTCATGAACTTTGCTACAGTTCCCAATAAACTCCTTATTTTCATCTGAGATTTGACAGTCTGGACTTTATTTTCCATATCACTGTCAGCATTTTGGTCATAACCACTTAGTCTCTAAGAAGCCGCAAACTTAGCCTCATCTTCCTGCCTTCTTCTGAGCCCTCCTAAGTAGTATTTCAGCCTCTGCTGGTTAGCTGGTTCCATAGCTACTCCTGCATTTTCAGGTAAATTTATAGCAATGTTTCACCCTTTGACACCAATTTTCTGTGTTAGGCTGATCTTTCGTTGCTATAAAGAAATACCTGAGTCAAGGTAATTTATAAAGAAAAATGGTTTAATTGGCTTGTAGTTCTGCAGGCTTCACAGGAAGCATGGTTCTGGCATTTTCTCAGCTTCTAGGTAGACCTCAGGAAGTTCAATCATGGTTGAAGGCAGAAGGGAAGTAGGGATGTCACATGGTGAAAACAGTATCAAACAGGAAAGAGAGCGTGAAGAGGGAGATGCCACTCACTTTTAAATGGCCAGGTCTCACAAGAACTCACTATCACGCAGACAGCACAAAGCCATGAGGGATCCACCTCCATGATCCAGACACCTCCTACCAGGTCCCACCTCCAGCACTGAGGATTACAATTCAACATGAGATTTGGGTGGGGACAAATATCAACATTATGTCACACATACGCATGCACACACACACACGCCACATACATTTATTTCTCTAAGCAAAGAGTGCTACTCCACATAGGCAGCAGCTTTTAGTCCTACCTCATTTCTGTGAAGGTATCAGGAGTTACCTGTACTTAAAACAAAATATAGACCTGATTCCTGAAAATATTAGTAGGAAGATTAGGAAACCACTCTCTAGAAGAAGAAGGGAAGGACATTTAAATTAATTTTTTTCCTAAGTGCAACTGAGTGGTTTCTTGTTCAATAAAGATTTCAACAAATAATTGGCTGTTTTATTTAAAATGCAGTTAAGAAAGAGAAAATACCTTACGTCCTGGTTAATAAAATTTTTTAAGTTATTGCACTCCTAGTTTGTTTTTGTTTTCTTTTAAACTTATTTAGTTAGTTATTTCTTGTGAAGGAGTTTCACTCTTGTTGCCCAGGCTAGAGTGCAATGGCGCCATCTTGGCTCACCACAACCTCTGCCTCCTGGGTGTAAGCAATTCTCCTGCCTCAGCCCTCTGAGTAGCTGGAATTACAGGAATTCGCTACCACGCCTGGCTAATTTTGTATTTTTAGTAGAGACGGGGTTTCTCCATGTTAGTCAGGCTGGTCTTGAACCCCTGACCTTGGGTGATCTGCCTGCCTCAGCCTCCCAAAGTGTTGAGATTACAGGTGTGAGTCACTGCACCCGGCCAAAATTATTTTTAAACGTTTTTCTGCTTATAGAAGTGTTTTGTGCTTACTCTAGATAAATCAGGAATTATAGAAAAGAGTGATGAAGCAATACAGATTACTCATTATTCCTCCATTTACTTAGAGTGAAAGGTTATTAATATTTTGGAGTTTGTTCTAATCTCCCTCCCATGTGTTTGTGTGTGTATATTGATTTTACAGGAATAGCAACATATTTTGTCATATGTGTTATCTGCTTTCATTCATAGAAAGTAATTTCATACATACTTCTTAATGCCATTTAATATCATTAAGGTAGATTATTACCAGCTATATATTATCCAGCAGTAGCAGTATATACCACCCAATTTTTGATAGCTTGCAGTGGTAACATTTTACATCAACTGGGAGAAATTGGATTAATTAAGCATTGATGATAGAAACTTCTTTTAAGGCTGAGAATAGGGTTAGGTTCTCACCCCACATTATAGACTAAATAAATATCTATTATGGTTAAATGTAAAAATTAAAATATAAAACATTTCTAAATATGCAGTAAAGCATAAAACAAAAGACTATTAAATTATAATTTGAAGAATTTCTGTTTAACAATAGAATATTTTAATCAAATTAGGAAAAATATTTGTGACACTTTAATAGCCAATATATGTAAATGGGTAACATAACTAACATATGAAAATAACCACAAATTAGAAAAAGATGAATACTCTAAGGAAAAATTTGTAAACCACATTAGGAGGCAAATTTCAGAAAGGAAATGCAAAATATTCCATTTCAGTAGCAATCAAAGAAATGTATTCCTCAAATGCCATTTTCTATTCTTATTGATTTATTTTTTCTTCAAATCACCACTTGACATTACAGATATGAATACTATTATTCTAGATATACATTTTTTCCTCAGTGAAGTATAAGTTACATAAAAACTTGTGCTTTTATTCATTGTTGTATATCCTCAGTAACAGGCCTGTTTTAAGGTGTGTATCAGTCAGCTATTACTATATACCAAATAATCTCAAGTCTTAGTGCCATGTAACAGTAAGTACTTACTTATTGCTCAGTCAGCCAAGGTGACTCAGCTTCACGGTGCAAGTTGGCTTATCCTGTTCCTGTGACCAGCAGGCAGAGTGGGGCCTACGCTCTTCAGGGGATAGAATAAATACAAGAAAGTATGACCAACCATGAATTCTCATTTTAAATCCCTCTTACATATCTTCTAACTACACATTCACTGAAAAAAATCACAATATGAAGCTAATCAAGGGTAGGAAGCTAAAATCAAGGGTAGGAAAGTATACACACCTATGTACACACATGTATGTACATACATACACACACACACACACACACATATATAGAGAGAGATAAAACAAAAATATGTTACATTTACTTATAATTAATATGCTAAATTGCAATAGGCAATGCTAATGAAAATGTGCAAAAGTGAGGTTTATATCCTTTTTTGGTCCAGTGATTTATTTCTATGAAATGAACAACTACAAGCAGAAATGCACTTAACATTTTTTTCTATGAATGTCCATTGCAGTATTATCTCTATTACCAAAAAAAAATTGGAATTAATCTACCATTATTCTAAGATGGGTTTTTCTTTTCTTACTGTATTTAATTTGACCTAATATAGCCAACATTTCTCGTTATTACCTATGATGGCTTGCAACTTTGGCCAAATGAGACATGCATTTTTTTTCCCCTAGGAAATCTTCTACAACTATTCAAGTCCATTAATTGATAAATCATTGATGAGTATCTGATGACTTTTAAGAATAAATTAGTAATATTCCTTCTGTCCTGGAATTGATCAAATAAACAGCTTTCTGGGGAGAGAATGTGTCTATAAAGGTCACAGCAGATAAAAAATATGCAGTGATAAAGAAATATGTTCTCTATATTAAAGGGTCCAGACCAAGAACAACTAACTCAACTGTAACAATCAGGGCAGAACCCTCAAGGAGGAAATGTTAAAATCCATGCATTTTGATAAGAAATGGTAAACATTCACAAGGATTAGTCAATATCAGTAATATTAATAACATAATACCTTTGAAAATGTCAAGATTACGTTAATGTATTTTACCCATGGCTTTTAGTGGACATCTTCACCCCCACTTCTGGGGAGGGAAGGGGTTACCCTTTCTCTGAGTCCAAACCCTCTGGAGAAAATACGATGTGAGCTTTGTTAAGTGACCCCAACAAGGTACAGGGATGAATATTAGCTACTTACGGTTCTCAGTCCTGGTTTTACTTTCTATTTTGTTGTCCCAAATATATGTAGCAGCGAGAGGAGAGGAGGGTTCATTCATTTATCAAGGTTGGTTGGGAAAAAAAAGTAATTGTAATTGAATAGTCTTCTCTTATTTCATAACATCCAAAATATAAACTGATGGAAATCACTCATTGCCAAAGGCCGCTATGACAGGCAGAAGACTATTAAGTAGGTGGCATGGCAAAGCCACTGGGAAGCTAATAGGTATTGTATTTTATTCTTTCTTTTGTTCATTTATTAATTTGTTTAGCAAATATTGCAAGAACTATTGGAAGACTGACTCCTTAGTTTCTAAGTTTCTTTAGAATGGTTTAGGATCATAAACATATTTGCTATCATGATCAGTTAACACTTAATTATTATTGTCAAAGAGGATAGTAAGCTATCTTCAAAACAAGGCCCGTCCACCTCCTTGCTTAATGGGTTAGAAACATTGCATTTAAGAAACAGGAGTTCATTCTCCTGTCACAAAGAATTTAAAAGACCAAATCAGAATTAAGTGAATCTAAGTATTTTCTTCTTTCTGAAAATATAAACAAATGGAGGGTCACTTAATTCAAAGCACCTGCTACTCCTTTTGATTAATTTTGGGTAAAAGTGGGCTTTGAGAGATGGGCCTAGGACCCCTGATTTGAACAGCATCAGCAAAAAAAAAACAAAAAAACAAAACAAAAAACCAACAACCCAACTTCTCTTTATCTGGAATTAACTACAAATTCAATTAGAATAAAAATCTTAACCCACCCCATGGAAAAGATTTTACACAAAGAAAAGCAGATGTTGCAACAGTATTGAGAGCACTTTGCTTAGAAGTGTATGGAATTTTCCATCTTGTAAGCCCAATCACTGGTGAAAGATACGCAGAGCCAGCTTCTTTAACTCACAAAACAGCTTCCATTTCCCATGCTCCTTTAATTAGATTTACTTCTTTAATCAAAGTAGTATTGGGTTGAAGGAAGGAAGGGCGGGGATGGAGGAGACTTTACTTAATACTGGCTTAGCAAGTTTAGAGAAGGATGTAGGGTAAAAGGTGGAGGTCTATTTTGGAGTTATTTTACAGATAAAGCTTTTCTTATTTATTATGAGTTCAGTTAGAAAAAAATAGTAATAAAATTAATTGCTGAAGGTTATGCTGAGATCATACCTTAGTTCTATTTTCAGCTTTGAACAGATTATAGAACAATGAAGCATAAATGAAAATTAGAAAACATAAATGAACAGACATTCTGTAGCACTTTTTCACATTGGGATGAGAAATGTGCAGAATGGCCTATGAGGCAAGTTTATAAATGAAGACAAACCAGGATCACATAGGCCACCCATGGGGAATAGAACATGGGGATAGAAGGAGCCTAGAGGGGCTTCAGTGACCTCTGGTTTCTGGAAATGTTTTAAGCATGTCTTTTTTTTTTTTTTTTTTTTTTTTTTTTTTTTTTTAGACAGACTCACCCTGTCACCCAGACTGGAGTGCAATGGCTCAATCTCGACTCACTGCAACCTCCACCTTCCGGGTTCAAGTGATTCTCCTGCCTCAGCCTCCCAAGGAGCTGGGATTACAGGCTCGTGCCAGCATGTCCAGTTAATTTTTTGTATCTTCAGTACAGACGAGGTTTTACCATGTTGGCCAGGCTAGTTTTGAACTCCTTTCCTAGCGATCCACACTTCAGCCTCTGAAAGTACTGGGACTACCGTGCCTGGCCCAAGCTTGTCTTTTTAAAGCCTACCTTAATTTGTATTTTTTAAACCAGACTAGAGAGAGAGCCCCAGAGACAAACCTGAGTTTTTACAAGAGAGAAGCCTTGCATTTATTTGCTTATAAGCTTAATTGCAAGTGACCATTCACTCTTCAGGGTTGTATCCGATATCAAGTAAGGCAAAACAAAGCCATGTGTGGTTCAGTTTTCATTTCTTTACATACTGTGATGTTGAAATATGCCACCATTTTGTTCACATTCTTCTCATTAGGATTATAAGAGTCTCCTAACAGGTATCTGCATTTCTAGTCTCCTTAAGTCTATTTTGGACTAACTCATCTATCTCCCAAAATTCAGCAAGATGGAATTTTCTTTTCTTTTCTTACTATTTTTTTTTTTTCACTTACTGTGCAGGCTGGAGTGTAATGGAGTGTTCTCGACTCATTGCAACCTCCACCTTCCTGGTTCAAGCAATTCTCCTGCCTCAGCCTCCCGAGTAGCTGGGATTAAAGGTGCCCACCACCACACCCAGCTAATTTTTGTATTTTTAGTAGAGATGGGGTTTCTCCAGGTTGGCCAGGCTGTTCTCAAACACCTGACCTCAGGTGATCCACCCACCTCAGCCTCCCAAAGTGCTCAGATTACAGGCATGAGCCACCTCGCCCAGCCAAGACTGAGTTTTCTAAAAAAACAAATCTGGCTGTGAAAGTCTTCTGCTTAAAATGGTTAAGGCTTCTTACCTTCTTAAGAAAAAATATCCTAGCTCCTTATTTTCCACCAAACCTCCTTTCCTTTCCTGGATTATTTCCTGTTGCTTGTTTTCACTCTCCATCAGCTTCCCTCCATTTCCCGTGAACATGTTAGACTCTTCTTCAGTTTGTCATTGTCCATTCAGTTTGTTTTAAATATTATTTATTTAATGCCTTCTATGTGCCAGGCACTTTTTTTTTTTTTTTTTTTTTGAGGCAGAGTGTTGCTCTTTTGCCCAGGCTGGAGTGCAGTGGTATGATCTCGGCTCACTGCAATCTCTGCCTCCTGGGTTCAAGCAATTCACCTGCCTCAGCCTCCAGAGTAGGTGGGATTACAGGCACCCACAACCGTGCCTGGCTAATATTTGTATGTTTAGTAGAGACGGAGTTTCACCATGTTGGCCAGGCTGGTCTCGAACTCCTGACCTCAGGTGATTCCCCCTGCCTCATCCTCCCCAAGTGCTGGGTTTACAGGCGTGTCAGGCACTTCCATAGGCACTGAAGTAGGACAGTAAACAAAACAGGTAAAAGTCCCTGAACTCTTCTCTCAGACATCTCATAGAGAAAGATGGATTGTAAGGTACATTAAGCCAGTAACAGAGTATGTGGATTGTGAAGAGTGCTATGAAGAAAGCAAAGATGTGAAAGAAGAGTGATGCGTGGACAGAGTGGTCAGCAAAGGTCTCTGTGCAAAGGCCACATTGCACAGAGTAAAAGAAGTGAGGGAGTGAGCTGATGGATTGCCCGCAGCTTGAGAACCACCTTGTATCATCCACAATTTTAGGGTGCAGAATTCATCTAGAATAGGAGTCCTCCACTGATAATTTTTTTAAAAATACTGTCTAGAGTATTCTAATGTTTATCTAGGAAATGTACTTTCAAATATAAAGAGCTTTGGGTTCAACTCTCAGTGACAGCCATTGGGTGAAGAAGTTGCATGAACTTATGCATTACATCTCCCTCATCTCCCTCTGATTTACAAGTGAAGAAGACTAAAGATGGCAAGAGGGGAAACAGGGAGACTAAATAGGAGGCTGCTGCCTGTGGCATGAGGAGAGGTAGCAGAGTTTCATTGGATATGATGACAAATAGTCAGTTGAGCTAACTGTTGAAGATGGAGCCCACAGAATACCATTCTTATGCACAATGTCCCTAGCCCCTAGAAGAGGAGGTCCACTTCTATTTATTTATTCAATCAGATTTCATCAGGGCAATTCTTTGTACTCCCCAACATGGGAGTTTGTTATATGCCTGGCCGCTGCAGGCACCTGAGTTTGCCATGCTCTCCAGGTGGTCTGATGGCTCCATAGTGAAGTGCTTCTTTTTCTATGTTGTCATGATAACTTCATGCCTTGTTACACTAGGAACCATATTCTAATTTTATTGTTTCATGTGAATCTCTCCAGATTATCTTTTGTTCAGCTTTGTATCCCTGGGGTCTACTACAGAGCCTTGCAGTTAGTGAGTGTTAGGTCATTGATGAATGCATGATGAAATGAATAAATGAATGCATCTTCAAGTGAATAATCAGCAAATAAATGGATTCTTTGTAATAGACTCTCACAGCAAAAAACAGAAAAAAATTCATGCAAAATGTGGAACAGTCATCTCTTTGTTAATTAAACATTTTCTAAGTCTCCCAAGCTAACATAGCTGTATGTTCTCAGTAGATGACTAACATTTCCTCAGTTGTAAATTGTGATAATACATGAGATGTGTTGTATTGAAAAGAAGACAGCAATATCTAGCTGCAAACTCTTCTGTCTTTTCCCAGTCTAGAGGCACAGTATTAGGGAGGTGCTGTAAAGAGAAAAAGGACCGAGCCCTGTAGAGCGATTGTCCTCTGGAAAGCACGTAGTACAAAGGAGAAACTGCACAGTTGGGAGGCTGGTTGTTGGTGTAGCTCATCTCTTTAAGCTGTGCACAGCAAGCAAGGGAAAGGACACTGAGGAACCAAGGTGGAAGGTTAGATTTAGCATGTTTAAGGAAAGGAGAATGAGGGGATATCTGAAGTTTTGGAGTATTGAAGAGGTCAAGGATTAAGAGTTTACTGTAGCCTCTGAACTTGGAAACTCTTGAATGCCTGAGGACGATATGATAAAAGATGGGAATTTCTTGGCCAGGCGCGGTGGCTCAAGCCTGTAATCCCAGCACTTTGGGAGGCCGAGGTGGGTGGATCACGAGGTCAAGAGATCGAGACCATCCTGGTCAACATGGTGAAACCCCGTCTTTACTAAAAATACTAAAAATTAGCTGGGCATGGTGGCGTGTGCCTCTAATCCCAGCTACTCAGGAGGCTGAGGCAGGATAATTGCCTGAACCCAGGAGGCGGAGGTTGCGGTGAGCTGAGATCGTGCCATTGCACTCCAGCCTGGGCAACAAGAGCAAAACTCTGTCTCAAAAAAAAAAAAAAAAAAAAAAAGATGGGAATTTCTCTTTAGGGTGCTTTGTTAAATACCACATACTCTGCCTGCCATTCAGCTATGGAGCCATGCTTTTAAAGATTTCACATAAAATACTAACAAATAGATTATAAAGTAAAAAAGTGCATTCAGCTTAGCTTAGAGCCTCATACACAGTAGCATCCAGCAAAGATGAATTCTTTCTCTTGTGGTACTTGAAGAGACAAGAAGCCCTTTCTTGTATAAAGGAAACAATTTGGGTGATGGTTACACTAAAATACCAGACTTCACCAATACTCACCATTATATTCACATAACAAAACTGCACTTGTACTTCTTACGTCTACAAATTATGAAGGTTTTCCTTAGAAAACCTTCTTCTTGTTTTTTTTTTTTTTTTTTTTTTTTTTTTTTTTCCGTACTAGAGACAGGATCTTGCTCTGTTGCCCAGGCTAGAGTGCAGTGGCATGATTATAGCTCACAGCAGCTTCAACCTTCTGTGCTCAAACAAGCCTCCTGTCTCAGCCTCCCAAGCAGCTGGGACTACAGGCACATACCACTACCCCTGGCTAATTTCCCTTTTCTAATAGTTCTGATCTATGTTGACAGACTGTAAAACCTCTGCGTATTTTAGCACTCATTTAGTCTTAGAGTTAAAAGAGTTACCACTCTTTTTTTTTTTTTTTTTTTTTTTCTGAGACAGAGTTTTGCTCTTGTCGCCCAGGCTGGAGTGCAATAGCTCGATCTCGGCTCACTACAATCTCCATCTCCCAGGTTCAAGTGATTTTTGTGCCTCAGCCCCCCGAGTAGCTGGGATTACAGGTAAGCACCACCATGCCCAGCTAACTTCTGTGTTTTTAGTAGAGACAGGGTTTCACCATGTTGGCCAGGCAGGTCTCAATCTCCTGACCTCAGGTGATCCACCCGCCTCAGCCTCCCAAAGTGCTAGGATTGCATACTACTCATTTAGTCTAAGTTCTACAAGCAGCCAGGTATTTCCTGCCAACCACCAGTTCCTGTATCAATGTCTCTCTAGTTGTGTTGGGAGCCTTGAACTCTGGTAGACATTTAAATAAAAGTTCATAAGAACAATAAAAAAGAAGCCCTTCCTGATCATTATTTCATTTTTATTTCATCCTGACTACAGTTGATGAAATATTAGTAAGTAAGGTAGCTCTCATTATGCCCATTTAACTGACAAGAAAGTAGGCTCACTCTTGTTAGCTGGGCATGGTGGCATGTGCCTGTAGTCCCAGCTACTCAGGAGGCTGAGGCAGGAGAATTGCCTGAACCCAGGAGGCAGAGGTTGCGGTGAGCCGAGATCGCGCCATTGCACTCCAGCCTGGCTAACAAGAGTGAAACTCCGTCTCAAAAAAAAAAAAAAAAAAAAAAAGTTTGACTCTGAGTGTCTTGCTATGGATTTCTGTGAGTTTATCCTATTTGGGATTCGCTCAGCTTCTTAAATCTGTGTATTTATGTCTTTTGCTAAATTTTAACAAATTTCAACTGTTATTTGTCAGAATGCTTTTTAGATCTGCCTTCTTTTTTCTAGGACTCAGGAAATGCAAAGGTTAGGGTTTTTTTGTTTGTTTTTGCTATAATCACAAAGGTCTTTGAAGTTCCTTTCATCTTTTTTTCACTCTATTTTCTCTCTGTTTTATAGATGGTGAATTTATATTGTTTCTTCCAGGGCGCTGATATTTCCTCTGTCTCCTCCATTCTGCCCATGCATTGAGTTTTTTCTATTAGTTATTGTATTTTTCCATTCAGATTTTTCCATTTCACTCTTATGTCTTCTATTTTTGGTTCTGACTTTCTATTTCTTTGTTGAAGCTTTTCAAATACATTTTCACCAGTTTCAAGAATGTTTTAACTGTTCATTGGAGTATTTTTATGATGGCTGCTTTAAAAGCTTTGTCAGATAATTCTAGCATCTGTGTCATCTTGATGTTGGCATATATTTATTATCTTTTCTCACTTAGTTTTAGATCTTTCTTGTTTTTGTATGATGAAATATGGACATTTGGATATCCTAAGACTCTGACTCTTATTTAAACCTTTTGTTTTAGCTAGGTTCATCTCACATCACTCTTGCAGAGGAAAGAGGGTGTCACTTCATTACTGCCAGGTGGCATAGAAGTCCAGGTTTCTTAACTCAGCTTCTGTTGACCTTTGCAAAGGAACTCCCAATTGCTGCTGAGCAGGAGTGGGAGTTTCAGTTCCCCAGTAGGACTCCAATAATGCAGTTATCCCTTGGTATACATGGAGACTTGCATCTCACGAATATTGTATTTGGATCTGCCCTCAGTTTTGGATACGGAACTTATGGATACAGTGGGCTGTGGTAAACAGATTTACATTCATATGAAGTAAATGAATTTTCAGCTCAATAAAATAAACTGCACATGTATGTTTCCCGTACTTGGATAACTTTTGGCCTAATTAATTAGTGTTAATTAATACTCTGTCTAATTAATTGCGTAGATTTTAAATAAATAATTTATTTCTGAAGAAAGTGTTTTCTGACAGCCCTTAGCCAGGCAGATGTGTCTGTTCTATGTTCTCACATGCCTGCATGCCACTCCTTTATGACCCTTAGCATATAGGCAATTTTACCTATTTGTGTGGGTCCCTAAACTAATGCCTCTTCCTTTGTCTGCACTGTTAAGCACAGCAGGGGCTTTGCCTTTTTTCTTTACTATTATCTTCCAAGCACCTAGAAGAGTATCTGAACATGCTAGGAGGTTGTTACATTTTTGTTTAACAAAATCTGCATATAGGTGGACTTGTGCACTTCAAACCAGTGTTGTTCGAGGATCCATATACTTCCCTATATGTGAGGGATAGAAGTGCTTTGTTACTGCTCTCCATATGGCTTCCACTGATACCACAGGATTAGGGGAAAGGGATAAAAGTCCCTCCTTCCTACCCAGCCTCCTCTGACACCACCTAAGTAGTTTTTGTGGAATTTGGCTAGAATTGAGCGATTATTATCTAAATGTTTTTCTGTATTGCTTGGTTGCCCCTTTCCTTGTCACTTGGCTAGAGAGAGAGTAGCTAAATGACATTTCATTGGGGCTTTTCTTGTTTGTGCCTATTACTGTTTTGGGGTTCTTGGTTCCTTGAGTTCCAGATCTGAGATACATAGGGAAAAGTAAAAGTCAGGGAACTCACCTTGATGTTTTCGTTGTATCCTGAGATTCCCTAGTCAGGCAGCCTTCTTCTCTCCACATTTCAGTCTTCTGATGTTTGTTTCTATAAATTCCCAGAGTCTTATCTTTAGACAGAAGGAATAATATATAAAATTATGTGTACTTCATCCGCGGTAAAATTTTTTAAAAGAACATTTGTAAAAACAGAAGTATCAGTCATAATGATATTTAATGAAAAGATAATCTGAATATCTTATCGCTACCATTTCTCTTAAGGGACAAATTCTTTTTCCGTGTTGATATGGAGGCTTAAACTTAATTAACATTTTCATTTTAAAAACTAATATATAGGTTACGCCAAATCTAAAAATTTACCTCCAATCCCCAAAGAAGCAATTCCCTGGGCCCTTCTGTATGTGGTCGTTATTGCAGTGGAAACTTCATGAGGCTGCACTGGAGAGGGAACAAGGAGGATATAGACAGATCAGCCATTTTTCACATTTAGTTTTCTTCTTCATGCAACTGCACAACAGCACTGAGTTCAAAAGCTGCTAAGACAAATTTATACTTCACTAGCCCTATTCTGTTAATTACAGAAATGGCACTTATTTTTAAGCACCAAATAGTACCATCAGTGAAAAGATGGACCCAGCATCTAAGAGTGCTTCTGATGACCATTCAAATCATAAAATTATGTTTTCTCATTGTTGTCATTTTTTATTTTCCCAAAGTTTTAATGTTTCTTCCCAATGCAGAAGAGCAAAAATACCTTCTTTTTTGTGTGGCAAAACAAGTAGATGATGGCAAAACAAGTAGATGATGGTTTAAAGGTGAGATAACCAATAGGTTAGTATGTCATGATGGCATAAGCCAATTATTTTAAATAATTTTCCACACTAAATTTTCCAGATGTTGTGTCTATGAGCCAAGATAAATTTATATCATTAATATACTAGCTAGAATTTAGTTTAAGAGCTAATTCGGAGAGCTTGTTATCAGAACTTTGAGTTGGGTTTTTGGTAACTCACATGTATTATGTTTAAATGAAACATGCTTGTTGTTCCACTGACCCACACTAGCAAGGTGCTAGGTATTTGAGATGATTACTTATTTTATATCATTAGGAATTGAGTCTTAAGGAGGAAAGGTGTCACATTTTTGCCTGCTTTTTCTTTCCTAGAACTATCTATACCTTTGGCAAATTTGATGTTCAGAATTTTCGTCCTTTTGAAGATTTTAGTAATTTGAAAGACAGGTGCTCATTTACGTGAAAACCAAATTTGTGTGTGTGTGTCTCTATACATTATATGTATATATACATATTGTGTGTGTGTGTGTGTGTGTGTGTGTGTGTGTGTAGCGCTATATTTTTCTCTCATAAAATTAAAAATGGACACATGGATTTTACTTAAACATTTAAAAATTCATTTTTTTCAATGACCAAGAATTACCAAAATGATTAATATTTGTGTTGTTTCTAAATATAATAGTGCTGCTGAAAATGGTCATGATATGAACATACTTTAGATGGCACTTTAGGTGAGTTATAAAATGCATAGTTCAGACTGCATATGCTTTCTAAGTTTGCATTAACATAAAAAAGTTCATGTGTGTACCTATGCAACAATCTTGCATGTTCTTCACATGTACCCCAAAAGCTAAAATGCAAAAAAATAAAATAAATTCTCCCCTATACAAATAGAATAAATTTGCAAAATGCATAGTGTAAAACAACAACAACAACAAAAAAAATGTGCATTCTAATCTCACTAAATAGTATAGAGAAAAAGTCTACATATCAAGAGAAAGAAACTAAAATGGAGATAAGAACTTGTTTTTTGGACACCTTTTGGACACCACCATCACAGATTTTACAGTCTCAATTTCTCCTGCACAGATCCCACTAACAAAGGGTATTACATTTTACTGACATCAGTGACCTGGCATCACTGAATTATTCCCTGCTTTGGTTTACAGAGGAATAAACCGGTAATTAATTATATATCAGAACATGAGAATCGACCTGGCAATAATGTACAGGCTAAGAACGCTCTATTTACATATGTAGGTTATTTAAAATATGTCTTGTTAAATAAATATTTAACATACTTCCTTATTTAGCTTATACACTGTTTGGACTGAAGCTGCAATCCTCATTGCAGAATGTTCAAAAGAGTGAGAGAGTTGTCATAGTTCTCATCTTTGCCTGACCTGCAAAATCTCTTCTGTGTGCATGGCAGGGCATACAAAAAAAATTATTTAACAAAAACAACACAAACTATCTCTGTTGGCTCTGAAATATATAATGAAAGGAGAAATTTCATCCTGAGAAAAATCACAAAACTTGTTTTTGTCTCGGGAAGTAGGACAAGAGGCACAGGCATAAATTAATCACAATCCACACAGCCACCTCAGAGAGAGGAGTTAAAAGCAGACAGTAAGGGAAACAAATGATTTCACAGGAAAATGTTCTCCTCGCTGTGGGTCATTTTCCCCTTGTAAATATCCAGACTTAATTTTAAAGTGGAAATAAAATAAAATATAGGACTTAAGAATTTTCCATATTTCTCAAAATCAATACAGAGCCGCAATGTTGAAACAACCATAATACTGAGAATAAACAAGACAAAGCCAATAATGTGGGAAAACAAACTTTGCAGTTCACAGGATGGCCATGCACAGACTCAATCGGGGTCCAAGAAGGTATTCAGTGTATTTCTGGGGGCTCAGAAATTAGCTTTTTTTTTTTCAGGAGGTTAGCTGGATACCTGCAGCTGCCCAGTCTTCTCCCTGCAGAATTCAATCCCGACCATAACGATTCCTGATCCACCAGGGGGAGCAGTTCACCAGCACAAAACCAGCCTCCCCAAAGAAAGTCACTGAAGGCACCTTTTCCTCTCAATTTACACAGCTGACAAGGACCCTGATTTTTATCAGTTCTCCTAGCTGTGGCACTCATATACCTCACACTGATTTCATATGCCTGACCTCATGCTGGTGGGTTACGTGTTGTTCCATCGCAGACACATGCCCACAAGCAGGTTTTTCTGTAGGACTTGACATTCAGTCCTCGTAATTTATAGAAATTCCTTGTTTTATTATAGGAAGTAATTTAGTCCCTGCTTCTTTGCCAGCTTTTATGGACAAAACCGATAGATTTATCAAACTGCATATTTCATACTTATTCTAGTGCATGGATAGAGTGGAGAAGCTGATCTTTGGGGTGCATATAAGGAGGTGTGTGTAGGAGAGATATTCTCTCTCTCTAAGGTCTTGAAGACAGGCATCTGTCACAGCTTGCTTATAGTACCCCTTCTTTCTCCAGCAAGTCTTTTTTTTCCCCCTGTCCTGAGACTAGAGCCCTGGCACTGAGAAGGAGAAAACAGCTGTCAGAGAAAGGCCAGTGTTGATGATAAGCCCTTTGTGTACAAGCTCAGACTTGAGCCAGCCTGTCCAAACAAAACAGCGGTGGACTTCAGTGGAACTGTGTATGGGTAGAGAACCCCATGCCTGCTGATGAAAAAGGCAACCAGAGAAGTACACTAGCTCTTGTTTTGCAAATGGTTCCACAATCCACTGAAGGAATTTTCCTAGGGGAGCCAAGTTTTACCTTTGACAGAAGTCAGTCCTTTTGGCCCCTTATCCTGAGTCTCTCCCCTGGCACTTTAGCTCACTGCTCTCTGACAGTCCTCACTTCTCAAGGTATAGACCCTAGTCAGCAGCTTTGGCATCAGCTGGGAATTTGTTAGACATGAAGAACCTCAGGTCTCATCCTCGACTTTTGGAGTCAAAATCTGCCTTTTAACAAACCCCCCAGGTGACTGGAGTGCATGAAAGTTGAAACTGTGCACAAAGACTCTTTTCTATGGATAGGTCTGCTTCTATCAGGATGCAGAAAAGATGCATAGTTGTGTTCTTCAAATAGAAGTTATAGATGTCAAGATTATTACATGGCCTTATAAACGTAACCAACTCTCAAAACAGGAGGAACAAAGCAGAGAATTTAGTCTTTCAAGGGAAGACTTGGTTCTGGAACATAGCAGCTTTCTGGTGCTTCATTTGTACTTCATAGGTACTGCCTCCACTGGGAAGATTGAGGGAGCACTGACACACAGAAGATTCAGCTGACACTTCTTTTCCTCCAAAATTATGTTTTCAGTCTATGAATATTAACCAGGGATTTGGCTATTAACATTTTTTTTCTTTAACTTTACCATTTTCTGCATTTATTTTTTTGAAGGTAGGGTCTTGCTCTGTAACCCAGGGTGAAGTACAGTGATACATTCATAGCTCATTGCAGCAGCCTCAGACTACTGAGCTCAAGCAATTCTCCTACCTCAGCCTCCTGAGTACCTTGAACTAGAGGCACATGCCAACACACACTGCTAATTGATTTTATTTTTGTAGCGATGGAGCTCACTATGTTCTCCAGGCTGGTCTTGAACTGCTGGCCTCAAGTGATCATCCGACCTCAGACTCCCAGAATGCTGAGATTACTGGCATGAGCTGCCATGCCTACCTCTGCTAATATTTTATTACTTCTGAATAAACCATAGAGAAAGAAAGAAATCTCAAGACATCCTATATATTTACTCATTATTTGCTTTGTCTAATGGCTTTGAAGAGGAGAAAGTTGAAAGAGCTAAAATAATCATTTGTGATTTCTGATGACATTCCAAGACTTAACCTGGATAATGTTATCAAGGCTAACTAAAGAAAGGGAATTTATTCTAGAGAAAAAAATAATGATCACATTAAAAATACCCCCAAAACAGCTAAATTCCAACCATACATCTGTTAATATTGCCACCTGAACACTCACAGCTGGATGGAGTTAGTGACAGGTATTTGAGTGGTTGGATTAAGACACATTGTCTGTATTTCCTTGATGAATGGGAATTAAGGAGCAGTATTCTGCATTGCTCTTTTTTTCCCCCACCTCTGGCCTTTACACTATTCTTTTGCAAATGCTGTAATGTGATATTCTGAATTTTGGCACAAATTCATTAGAAGGGAAAACTTTCCTGAATATCAACTGCTTGGTTACCAAGTTGGATGTAATCTCTTCCGAGGAAAATCAGTTATAGAAGAATTATGATATGGGGTTTATTTCCTGACAGGGTAGAGATTTAGCATGGCAGGCAAGAGGAAGGGCTGTTCTCAAATCTGATGTCCTGGTTTTGCCCAGGCCTGACCAAGACATTTAAATTCTTCACACATCGAAGAGGCTCCTGAGTCCTGGGCCCCTCTGTTAAGGTCTGGATTGGGTATGGGATGGGGAAGGGTAAACATGCAGCTGAATGTGAACAGTGTGGGAGGGAAGATTGGTTTTCGGACAGGGAGCTAATATCCAGAGAGTTTCTGACAGCTTCTCCCAAGATCTTCTTTGCTGCCTTTCCAGATGGCCTTCCTCAGACTGTTTTCCTCTCTGGGGTCTGCCATTCTATTTTCAA